TCCGCAGAGGTGGGACGAAGCCAATGTAAGATCGCAGTTAATTGCTTGTCTGAAAGGGGATCTCTGTGGATGCAGACCGCGGATTGGATGGAGTGGATGGCAGCCAAACAGGGCATCCAAACCAGGTATTGTGGAACGCGAAGCTTGGGAAGACGAGGGAACGCTTACCACAATCAATGTGTTGACCAGGAGCGGTCATAATGGACAGGACAGGGGTGAATTTGTGCTTATTAGACTAGTGCTCAAGCAGCGGTTGAGTTTGCTAATATATGGTGCTAGAGTGGAAATGGTCTGGAACACGCAGAGAAGTGGTGTAATTTTAGGAATTAAACATATAAGGACTCATGTGAGTGAACTTCTGAGATAATGGCCTAGTTTAATTGGAATTTATTACGTAAGTTGGACAGTTCCACAGCCCAGTAGAGATAGTGGATCCAAGGAAGATAGTCACCAGTCCCAGGAGCACTGCTACCAGCTTCAACTAACAAGTGGTGCATGGCGGAAGAAGCCTTTGAGCCTTAGTATTATATGCTTGTAGTGAAGGGTTGGGAACGTAGTGTATATAAAAAATTTACTTCCCAACTTGTAGGGAACATGCAACTTGAGGCGTAATCGGGTCATCGCAGTCTGGACGCGGTGCATTACCAGCGAGAAGGAGATGTGCTAATAACTTGAAGAGCCACCGTAGCTGTGGTAACCAAAAAAACAAGGACACCGAGCATGGGTTATGACCATTTTAGAGATAAAGCCGGCTGACATGAGCTAAGCTCATACTCAGGAAATAATAAGGAATTTAAATTTTTCGCCATATGATCGCTTCGGAGAACGAAGGAGAGGAACATGTTTTTTTCGGATGATAAATTGGACTTACGGTGGTACAACCTAACTAAGACGAAGGCGACAACTCACTGTACGTTGATGTTAGCCACGAGCCTCGCGCAGAACCTTCAAACTACCCCATGCGTATTTTTTTATGATTTTTATGATTTTCTTGTATTCCTTGATTTTACCAGGCAGCTGGCATCCGAAACGAGTCCACTCCAGCTACAGATAAGTTACAACGTTGCCCTTTTATGCTTTTTTGTTATTGTTCTCTGGTCCAACCAGTCAGATCATGTATCTCGGCACATTTAGTTATCAAAGCATGATCTTGAGCCACCCTTGGAAGTAGAAGCCTCCATACAATGACGTGGTTGAGGCTAAAATAGTAGGGCGCTTTTTCGTGTGGCCTGTTGAATCTTGGCTATCCAACTGGCTAAACAAGAAGTGCTGCCATATCACTGAATTTTATCTTACTAAACAATGTTTCCCAAACGTGCCAGTCACTTGAGGGTGGTTGCAATTGCAAGCGTAATATAAATTTTACAAGCGGTAGTAGGATAATTGGGTCATCCGCTGGATTAGCTCGTTTTAGGGTGCAAACAACTGAAAGTATTTAGTGTACCAGGTCTTTGCAATTCTCACCCTTCATATGTACCTCGGCCATAAGAACGGCAGTTGGAGAGTTTCCGAACTGCTTGCTTTCAAGCAATTGTTCCTATGGCTAAAGCGACTGGTAAAACTACACTAGCTAAACTCTATTCCCAAAAGTGCTAAGAGAGGATTAGGCTATTGATGCAACCAGCCAAAAGAGACGGAGCCCGAGAGGCGCAACCCACAAACTGACACCATGACAATTTATAGTCAGTTGTTGGATCATTCCTTAACCGCGCTGAAAAACAGGCCGTCAGAAAAACCGAACATCACGTCCATTGTAATGCCGCAATCAGTAATCAGCTCGATAGGATATCCTGTAAAGACCATGCATCTCCAACTGGGTCATTTTAAGCAGAGTTTAGCCACCTAAATCCAGTGTCATGTACCTTCGTGCATCCTACGTGTGTGTGCCATACATGGCTCTTCGTGCATTGTGTGGGAAATTGGACCTCAAGCGATAAGGCTGGAAAGGCACTGTTAATAAGTCGAATGAACCCGAAGGGAACTCTGGTTGTTCATACTAACGGTTTTTGGTTAGCGTAGCACTGATGTAACACGAGTGCGCGAATGCTTATTGTAACAGCAGGTGCGAGGCTTTTTAAATTGTGAGCCAACACTAAAATCCTGTGCCGTCAAGAAAAAATCGAACGGTGAGCTTGTAGCTGGAAACCGGTCGGGAAAACTATCAAGAGTATCAGGCAATGACATTTAGCGTAAAGTTTTGCCGCTTAGTTTTGTTGCTGAGGGTATAAAGGTGAAAGGTCCGTAGGTGAGCGGAGCTTTTAGTGCCCAAGGCTACATTACACCACAGGCGAAATCGCTGAGTTTGTAGACGGGACAAGCTGAGTGAATCAGAACATCGAGACGACCGACTCCTAGGGAAGAATTCAATGAGTCAGAAAATAGTCGCTTGAGTGGTGGCTTGGTCCAAGTAAGCGGTTTGTTCATATGAGCATGTAGGGGCCCGAGGGAACATGAGAGAATGTGCAAAGAAAATGGCTGCATGCATGCAATTGCACCGCGTACAACACTGAATGCTTTCACACGAACTCCAACTTCGGCTTCTCCGCGCTTCTGTGATACACTTCGTGTGATCGGTAGTTGAGGAAAGGCGCGCGTTCATCTGCTGTGGATCCTGTGGTGGGGAACAAAACCTTAGGAATCGGGCCGATGCAGAGTGGCAGGCACGTTAGCCTCGTTGGAGATGCATGCAGACACAAAGCAGAATGTAAAAGGGATCAATTATGGTGTTCGGAGGAGGAGAAAATGATGAGAACTCAAGGAAAAGGAATGATAGAACAGCGTAATCAGGTTTTGGTGAGTGTTGAGGCTGTTGGTAGAACGGATTTTCTTGGGGAAATGATAGGTGTTTTTTAAGCAAGCCTAAGCGGGGACAGCCGTGTGCTGAGTGACCTGGAAATTACCGGTACAATCCTGATATATTACAAAGACGAAAGGAACTAACCGGTATTATTGGAATGCTGTAAAACAAATATTGTTTGCGAGAAGTCAGCATTGTGAGATTCTGGCAAATTGGGAGTTGGTCGATGTGATACCGGGCAGGAAAGCTTGACCGTGGATCACTTGTCAGAAGCTATGACAGGATTTGTCAGTCAGCAAGTGGCGGCTTTTTCCAGCCAGTTTCCTTTGTCCTGTCATTTAGGCGAAGAAGCGGTCAGTATGTAGAGTGGCAGCGGAGATATAAGGGAAAATGGATATAGGGATGTGAGACAAGGAACCAGCACTGAAGCAGGGATGGAAGATGTGCAATACATTCTATGTCGGAAACCAAAGATAAGTTTCAGACCACTTATTGCGTTTTACTAGAGGGAAGGATATTTTCCTTCGTTTGTATCTCAGAGGAAGAACTGATATATGGCACAACTGGGACAACCTCAAACCGGTAGCTTAAAGTGGAAAACGGCGGTGCTCATTTACGGATTTCCTGAATTGAACGCCGGCCTTCGATTCGCCGGTGACGGGCTGTCTTGGAAGTTGACGGTTTTACAATGGCATCCTTGTGGGATCCAACAGATGGGATGCATCCAATTGCCACACTGGATTTTCAAATCTCTTGCGTGTTACCAATCTACAAGTGGGAAAATCGTTGAAGAGTCATTCTCGCCGCTTTTACATCGACAAGAAACTCCAGGCAACATACTTTTCCTGGTCGGAGGGGAAAGACAGACCAGTAAAGTAGCTCGGTTAATTCGGACAAGAGAACAGCCACTGGAGCAAGGAGGTCACAGCGTTTGCAAATGAAACATCAGCTACCAACGGAGATAGCGGAGGCCTATTGGAGATTTTCCGAGCGTGAACTCTACAGCTAACATACGATGGAGCGGTAATGTGAACCGACATACCTAGAAGAGGATTGCTGGGTAAGGATTTGGAGTTTTTGAAAACTGAGTGCTAGTTGAATGAGGTCAGGAAATAATAGGTGATCATAATGCAGAGATGATAAGCGGGAAAGTGAGCCAAGGAACAATCCAAACTGTCTTCTGATGTGTGAAGTAAGCCGAATGGATGTTAAGGATACCAAGACATACACAGATTCGTCCGCAGAGGGGAAATACAACACTTAATTGATCATAGCAGATTCAGATATATCTGGTGGGGCACCGGTGATTTAGCTGACATGTTCAGTTTTGCTAAGGAATGTGGGACATGGTGAGGAGCGAAACGTGCCCGCTAATTCGGGAAGATTCTCCCATATACTAACACATCCGAAGCACATATATTCGTGCATGTCGATGCTGGATTTTGTACCACGTTGAGTTATGTATGGGTGTAGTGGAGAGTCCGTTCGTAAATGGAATAAGCGTGGATCTGTTACGAAGCTTACCTTTTCCACAAGTCATCTGGTCAGTGTCTTGCATGAATGTCCAGGGGTCGTTTTATTCTGTTAAGTCGCCTCATATTTAGTCTGTTGAGCTGATATCACAACAGAAAATCGCACAACAAATGGTTATGGTAGTGAAAATGCAGGTTATTTGTCCAGAAAATTCTGACTTATTGCACAGCAGTGGAAGGCCAGAAATAACGCCCCCGTCTGGGACAAACTCTTTGGCATGTTGTCTGCAAGAAACCTTCTCTACTTTTAAACATTGACAATAATTCTGCTGAAGATTCCGGTCGAACTTCTGTCAAAATTACTAATATTCACACGGAATTGCATTTGAATGGCTTCATAATGCTGGCCCACACCTCCCACCAGATTTTCCTCAGTGCAGTTCTACATAACGGCAGCGATGTTTGCAGTTGCTTCCACACCGGAAGGCCACGGTCAATTTTATCACATTAGCGGGACTTGGATTTTGGACTAGCCACCCGTGTCCTCTAAACACCGTGGGTTCAAAATGTTGGCTTTTATTTTTCCTCCACTTTCACTGAAGCGAATGAACTCTCAGTTTGTGTTTTAGCGCACCACTTTTGAGCATCTATCGAATGACCTTCAAGGTTGTTCAGCCGTTTTCGTAACTTTTTGATGCCCCTGTTTTCGTGGTCTGTGTGTGAATCCTTTAGTGGATGCTTCATTGTCTTCATTTTGGAGCTAGCACCATCATTTTGACAAGCGAAAAAATTCGTTGGAACAATTTCCCGGTCATTATTGAGCTTATTAGAGCTGGTCATCTCTGCAGAAATATTATGACAGTGCTTCTGTGGTAGAAGTTGACATATGAATATCTTTCAAGGAACCTTTGGCAGCCTAACAACCGCTTCGAGCAAAAGAATACGATGCGCAGTCCATCGCCACAGGCTTGAAATTGTGTCATGCTAGGTTCAACTGCGTCAGAGAATTTGGCTTGTACGGACGAAGTCAAGGTATATGAAGATGAAGGAGAGGAGGAGGAGCAGCAAAAGTCGTCGGAAAATTTGACGGAAGACAAAGTTAGGCTTGTGATAGAGAGCGAAACTCAGGTGAGTCACCATATAACCTATTATGCTTTAAACGCCAAACGAACATCGAGCTGTCTTGATTGGTGAAGGGTAGGGGGGGGGGGGTATTTTTCTTGTAGGCCTGTTTGGGTTCCGGATTCAGATACACCAACTGGAGGCTGTTTGGTTGCCTTGGCTGCTGCGCATGGCCGTGCCCACTGATATAGCGACTGACCAAGTAGCTTCTCAAAGCATCCCCCTGTGTTTGGCCCCACACACCTCTAAGCGCCGAGGTGTCCCGGTTATTCAATGCATACGTTGCCACTTTGACAATTAGGTGTGGTCTTCGCTTAGTGCGAACAGGCTGGCACCTTAGTAAGAAGAAAACCAGTAAACCATAACACTTCCACGCTCATCACTCAGTCTTAACTGGTTAGAAATAAGAAATTAGTTCTACTCCAACCTCTTCACTACCTGTGTTTGTGATTCCTTGTGGTTAGACCGATTCACCATATCGCCATGTCATAAGGTGTGTTCTCCAGTCCTCTTCCGCCACAATCAATAGGGAATTCTGAAAGCCAGTTGCTCGTTGATATAGCATGTACATAGTCGTCGTTTCTTTCCATTTCATCTTGCACACGGTTAGATATTTCCCCAAGCTTCACCGGCGCAAACATGGAGGACTCTCACATTCCATTGTTCCACGAAAAGTCGTCGTGACGTTGATAAGGTTACCTCTGGCCGTTCTGTAAAGCTGGGAACATGTTCAGGGGGTCCATCTGATCACAACAAGAAATTTCACTGTCAACACTTCTTGAATTCGGTCCGGTCCCTTTTTCTCTCCGGGCCACACCGCGGTTTATAGCGTACGGCGAACGCACGGATTCTCAGTCTGAAGGTGGTCAGAACTGGATTTAGTGTTGAATGACGTGAATGCACCAAGAACTGAATCATTCCACCCTCTGACTCTTTGAAATTAAGCAATATCGCTTGCTCCTTTATTGTGGCTACATTTACTTTGTGTGAAGGCAACGATGGTACAGCCAACAAACAGAAAACTGATGAAAATGTAACACAACGAAACAGCGTGTCATCCGTGCAAAGTATATGGTGACGAGGTTTATCGTTACTAACATTCGACCACCAGTGGCACGATTTCGTCGTCAGTCATTCTAGAACCACAGATGTGCTTTTGGGGGCCAAAGAGATGTCCTACCAGATTAAATTGTAATAAAAGTTAGCATGCGCACAATCTATACTATATTTACATTGATTTCATAAAGATGTCTGAGCAAGGATACTAAACGACCGTTTTAAGCTTTTTACAGGTTTATCTTTTTTCTCAACATACCATTTATCGAATTCTCGGACCCTCACAAGTGAACCATGATGTTAGGGTGAATAGTTTACTCTTCACGGCATGGTATTCAAGTATTCTATTTTTTGTTCGGTGACGCTTTGATTGTATATTGATAACTCTGTGAACAAGGTCATCCACGCGATCTGATCACTACGTCTTTGGATGGCCGCCGTGCTATACCAGTATTACCACCATAGATTGATTGGTACTGGCAGCTTGAATTACACTGATTGTGATCGGACCTCGTGGATCCTACCAAGTACTTTAGGTTTTGAATCTAATGAAAAAGGTGTAGATCTTCATGTACCCATATCCGTCCACCCAGGGGACCTTGTCTCCCGTTGCCATCAAAAGTTGATTTTTCCCTGGAGTGACCGGCACCGGAGCTTCTAGTACACCTGGGTTAGCTTCCATTTGGAATGATTGTTGACATGCAGAAGGGCTAAAAGGTTTCGGGAATCGGTGCATACCGGAATTTGGAAATGCATCATACGATGTGTGCCCTCTTTAAATGAGTCAGTTAAATGTCCGTATTTACCACATTGAAAGGTACTAAATCTCCTTCGCCGTATTTGAGTAGTGCGGAAGCCTTCACTAGTCGGTTTATCTTCCAGTTTCATTACGAGTGGACGCGTGCTTAGGCTGGAGAAAGCTGGATTTGGGAAACCGGCAAACATTCTGAGGTGGTGGGCCCGTGAATCGATTCCCCACAGAGTCGCCTCTACAGTTACATCTGAAACACTCACGAATTAATTTTTCAGACGCTTATTAGGTTTTTCAAAACCTTAGAAGTCTCATCGGACTCTGAAGTACTTGTAACTTCAGCCGGTACTCCAAATAATGTGTCCTTACCATTCTTGACTCAGCAATTGGCGCGGAGATGCAGAAACCGCTGGTGTCTAATTCTGCCATCTATACACGGTGAGCAAACTGATGAGTACCGTCAGTAGCAAAAATATAAACATACCTACAGCGGACCCTGACAATCAATGTCTGTCCATTTATTTGCGAAAAGAAATGAAAACAGCAGGGACTTTAAACGAAGGCCTTGGAGTTGTGGGTAAGACCAACGTCCAAAAGCATGTTTGAATGCCATTGATCCACAGAAATGCCTATCGCCCCTTAGAGAGACAAAATCAGGTCTGCGCAAGAAACACTTATGGTCATTGGCATTGGAAGGCGTGGGTAAGACATTTCTTAGAGTACTGAAATCACCTATTGCTTTATATTTTTATCCAAGCACCATGATACTTAAGAATTGCGGATTTCCACTCAGTTGCTAGCTTTCTGACCTTCTCAGTGTAACCTTTGAGAAGCCGTCAATTGTGTCAGTCCGGTTCGAGTTTATCTAGTCCCCAATTGTCGACCACAATACTGCAAGCCGTTTGCATTACTTCCGTAGCACCTTATACACAAGTAGTGCTTTGTATTTAACTTCAGACCCTTGACATTCAAAGATCTACTTCTAATGACGCACTCAAAGTTTTTTTGCGTTTAGTTGCCTCGTATATCAAGTAAGGATTTTTGTTGTGGTTTGATAATAGGACCAATAAGATACCCCCTAATAACTGTGTGGTAGCTACTGCCCGTTTTCAAATAAACCTACCTGATAATTTGCACCGTTTAAATACTTAAGCCCTACTTAAGTTTCCTTAGAAGCGGTGTATCTTGTTTGTGTACAGCAAAACGAGTTTTGAATGTTTGTAACTACTGACTGTATGGTCAGCCGAATTTCGTACTAATTCATGGCTATACACCATGGAATCTTTGGGGCCTTTGTTAGTGGTAATGACATACTTTTTTTGCAGTTTATTTGCGTGGTAATTTCACTTGCTTCACAACTGACTGCTTCCATAATGCTGAGCTTTCCGGCATGCATCTTGCTTTGATAGGTATATGTAGTTAGTCGAATTGTTTCTTACTTAGTGATACAAATTTAGAGAGGGCGCTGTCCAAAACTCCCAGTTTGAGCTTCGCCAACGATTATTTCTTGCCGAACACGTTTTTTCTCTCAGCTAACTTCACATGGGTTTCTGTGACCTGATATCGTTTGAGCTAGTATATTCAGCTTGTATTGTCTTTTAGTCTATTGCGCCTCTAGCATTTAATGATATAGATACGGTACTACAATGGTCATTTTTGGTGATCATGTTTCCATGGGAATATATGTTATCAGTAGTCTTGATGGAAACCTTAATTCTGTTTATTCCCGGTTGTAAAGAAATCAATCGTTAATCTTCCTTAACGCGCGTGTTACTTTGGCTTCTATCAGTTAATCATGTTTTGGAACGATAATTGCTCACTTCGGCTTCACGCGTGGTTGGGTGCAGGAGAAGTCCAAGGCAAATTACAACAGCGTTCTCATGGATGCTACTGAATATTCTAGCTCGTGGTAAGGGTTGAGACTGTAAGTAACAAAAATATATTATTCCACTCATGGGGAGAATTTTCGGACCCCTTATCAAGCTGAAATGGATTAGTAGTTTTTCTGGTTTATGAAATGCTGATTCAGGTCAGATTTACCCCTAGAATACGAAATTATTTTGTTTTCGGTGTGAACAAAGGAAGTTTCTGTATATATAAATCGCAAGTCTTAGTGCATGTAGGAAGTTTTCAGTTCCTCTGTGATACTGCATAAACAAACAAGCAGTGGTGCACACAGAAGTCGTGTCGCCTGTCAGAATGTGTCACCCACTGGCTGCTGACACGCAAAAGATTGCCTGCAGTGCCTGCCGCACATAATTTTGTGATTTTATGGTACACTTACACCTGCCACAGGGGCATAAAACTGTGCAAGAAAAATAATATTGAAGCTTGTTTTAGTTATTTTGCCACAACACTGTTCACCTAGCAGTCCAAGGTGAACCAGCCATATTAGGTAGTTGAGTTAGACATCTAAATATTTTGAGCTGTTGTCGCAGCCGAAACTGAAGTCAATTTTTATTAAATACTGCATCTTTATATGGTGAAGTCGCATATTACCATTGACGTTTTTTGTGTACGGATACTATTTTTCCCACCTGGTTTTAGTTACTGAATCCTGTTTCCGCTGAATGATCCTTGGTTGATGTTCTCCCACGGAGGCATCTCCCTAGTTATTATGAAATTCGTTTCAATCACGGATGATCTTGTGGGTTCTGTTTGAGTTTCAACATCAATCATTTCCGCTGCTTATGTGGTTGGTGTCACATTTTTACGTGAATGTTTGTATAAATTATCTGTTAATCCTCTTCCACTAATGCTATGTGGTAAAGCCACTGAAACGCAAACGGTTTTAACTGATTTTGAGGAATTTTGCAATGTATGTGTTATCTCCGTGATAGTCGCCATTGTCAAGTTCAGAGTGTCCTTCACCAGTAACAGTCGTCCCCACCACTTGATTTTATCTCTGGAAATTTTGGTAGGATGAAGATTTTTGTTAGGCCGTAATTTTCCCATGTAAGGGGAGTTAGATTGACTTAATTTCACAAGGCAACTGATGGCTCATTTTTCATACCCATCCGCATTTTGTGATAATCTTCCGCCTGCGTAATATATGAGTCAGTTATATTGTCTGCTCGCTTTATTGCGACGGTTGCTGTCACTAAACCCTGTAGTCTTTGAGACCGTCTCTCGCTTATTGATATAACACTCTTTGTTTTTTTTCAACTGAAAATTATTTTTTTCAGCCGTACCTCCTCAC